GCTAGAAGTAAATACCTCAGATAAATATGGATGAGAAATAAATACTGAAAGTAAACCGGTGTGTCGTAGTTTATAGTTATACAACGGTGTTTGCCTGTTGGTCTGCACATATCTTCCCCACAGTACACATCAGCTCGGAATATACACATACCATCACACGACTATATGACGTCAAACAATCTTATGTAAATAAATATTTACATTACACTGGAACTTTTCCGTCTTTCCAGACGAAAGTGTTATATTGTTCTATGAGAAGGCATAGGACTCACAGCCCATTGCGATGACGTGTGCGACTAGCAATTTACACCCGCAAATAAAGCATGGGATTTAAGGACTTTTGTTGTCAACATTTGTGTTTAGTGTGTTTCTCCTCAGACGCTCAGCTCTCTTCCATTCTGCAATCCTTTCTTCCTTTATTTTTATTCCCTTCCTGATGTGTTCCCTCCACACAACACGGACCATGGCATTTTTTTTCTCATGAGTCCACCTTATTACCTGTATCATTCATGGCCCGCTTGCACAGATCTTTATATCGTAGCGGAGGTCAACCACATCTTCTACTCATCTTTAAAACATCACAGAGAAAGTTCTTAGGGAGCTCTGCCATTCTCCATTCTCCAGGTGTGACCCAGCCACCTGACCTTTCGTAGGCTGAGCATTGAGAAAACAGTAAATACTACAACACTTACGTGACAACACCCACAGATATGCGAAAATAGATTTATATGACAGGACAAACCTATGTGACAGCACGCATATCTATGTCAACACCTATAGAAACGACAAGGTTAACATATGTGGCAGCACATAAGTTTATGATACCACACGGTTACATGACATGACTTACCTATAAAATTTGAGCAGCCGATATGATAAAATACACTCATATGACAGTCATACCTCTGTGACAGTATCTAATTTTATGACATCTGCTTCATGGATGATACTCCCTACTTACACGACAGCTCCTATTTCTGTGAGAGTACATACCTCTGTGACAGCACCTACCTATTTGACAGCACCCACTTATATGACAGCACCAACCACTATGATCGCACTAAACAATATGACAACACACAACAATGTAACAGCACCCACATAAATATTCGCACCCACTTATATGACAGCACCAACCTATATGACAGCACCAACCTATATGACAGCACCCACCTATATTACAGCACTACTTATATGACAGCACCCACCTATATGACAGCACCCACCTATATTACAGCACTACTTATATGACAGCACCAACCTATATGACAGCACCCACCTATATGACAGCACCCACCTATATTACAGCACTACTTATATGGCAGCACCAACCTATATAACAGCACCCACCTATATTACAGCACTACTTATATGACAGCACCCACCTATATGACAGCACTCACCTATATCATTAAAATCGCCTATATATATGACAGCAACTACCTATATGACAGCACCACTCATATGATAGCACCCACTTATATTACAGCATAAACCTCAATAACAGCATCCTCTTATATGAAAGCACCTACCTATATGACAGCACCCACTTATATGACAGCACCCACTTATATGAGAGCACTAACCACTGTGATCGCACTAAACAATATGACAACACCCAACAATATGACATCACCCACATATATAACCACACCAACTTATATAACAACACCAACCTATATGACAGCAACAACCTATTTGACAGCACATACCTATATGACAACGCCCACCTAATTGACAGCACCCACCTATATTACAGCATCCTATATCATAAAACCAACCTATATATATATATATATATATATATCTATATATATATATATATATATATAATATATATCTATATAATATATATGACAACACCCACCTATATGACAGCACCACTCATATGACAGCACCCACCTATACAACAGCACATACCTATATGACAGCACCCACCCATAAAACAGCCCCCACTTATATAACAGCACTCAGCAACACGACAGCATCCACTTAAAAGAAAGTACTCATATGACAGCACTCACCCGTGTGACAACACCCACTTATATGACAGTAGCATTTATATGACAGCGCCCACTTATTTGACAAAACCCACTTACATGACAGCACTACTTATATGACAGCAGGCATCTTTATGACAGCACCCACCTATATAACCGTACCACTTAGACGACAGCACCCTCCTCTGTGACTGCACCGACCTACCTAACAGCATCCACCTATATGACAGCACACACCTATATGACAGCACCCACCTATATGACAACATCCACAACAGTCTTATCTTCACATCACCGTTATTACAGCGCCCACCGATATGACAGTACCTACCTATATGACAGTACATACCTATATGACAGTACCTACCTATATGACAGTACCTACCTATATGACAGTACCTACCTATATGACAGTACCGGTCCATTATGTTAGCGAAGCCGTCGGGGTTGTAGATCAACTTCATCTTCTGCCAGCGGAAATGCTTGAGAAACCTGGCTAGCAGTTCCAGAAGAGAGTTGAAGTTGGAGCCAACTCTAGTCAACAGGGGAAACATGGACGTCTTGAGGAAGCCAAAATCTCCAGCCATAGCCCCCGGCGTGACCAATGGAAGCTGCCAGTATCTGATCTGTTAATGTAAGAAAAACAAATATTTTTGCTAAAAGTGACCGAGGCTGTATCAATAAAAATCTTCTCTTCTATGTTATGTAAACAGAAAGATTGTGTGATAAATTTCAAGTTACCATGGTAATCATTTGCCTGATTTTGAATTTCCAACGAATAGATGTACAGACTGGACAATATGATTTAGCAAGAAAGGGATTCATTTTGTGCTTCGTTATATGTTGATTTAACTCTGTAGTAATGCAGCTGACGAGATGTAGCGAAATACGCCAGGCAATACATAGAGCAGTGTATTCTTTGTGTCGGCAGTATTTGAATTCAAACAATGTGCTGAAAAATATTTGTGTGTGTGTGTGTGGCAATACTGGTTAATCTAAGCACAAAATTACAAAAAAAAAAAGTTCTGTTTCTAGCTCTTCTGGCTGCCTCGACCATAGGCACATCGTGCTGTTGTAGAGTTTCTCTGATGTTATCCTTCCATCTTGTTCTTGGTCTACCCCGTGCTCTACGTCCTTCTTCTCTTTCCATGTATGCTTTGTATGGTATGGTGTCACAAGGCATTCTCTCTAAGTGGGCAAACCATTTCACTTGCTGTCTTTGTATGTAATCCAGAATTGGTTCTGTGCCGACTTGTTCTCTTATGATCTCTTATGAGTTTGAGAAATTCGGTAGGAAATACAAGAAGAGATAGTTATCAATGAGAAACTAAGACCAATTCTATGTATAATACCGGTAAATGATTTCATAGAACATGAAACAATCAAATGGTTTGGTTTTTTGTGGATAAATGAGGGAAAAAAAATCAGAAAGAGATAGATGGAGGGAGTAGAAGAGACACTACAGAAACGCAATATTATGTTAACACACAAATGCAAGGCAGTTAGCAAAACAGAGGAAATTATCTAATCTATCCGTGTCTGCGACGTTTTACGGCATAAACAGCAGGACAAAGGACAGGAAATACATGTAACACCTCTCAATGAATGAGGTTTTGCGTCAAAAACAGCGGAACAAAAGACAGGAAATACATGTAACACCTCTCAATGAATGATGTCTTACGGCATAAACAGCGGAACAAAAGACAAGAAATACATGCAAAACCTCTCAATGAATGAGGTTTTACGTCATAAACAGCGGGACAACAGACAGGAAATACATGCAACACCTCTCAATCAATGTGGTCTTACGGCATAAACAGCGGAACAAAAGACATAAATACATGTAAAACCTCTCAATGAATGAGGTATTACGGCATCAACAGCGGGACAAAAGACACGAAATACATGTAACACTTCACTGAATAATAATTTGGGACCCCTATTCGGAAGATAGCCAGCAATTGTTACCCATCTAACAATGGATCCCAAACTGTTCCTGCCCACAACGCTTCACGGCAGAAGTGGTTTCAGTCTCGTCCTTCAATGACAGAAAGTACACGTATTTATATTCTTTTCGTGTGGGTTCCAGGGCCAACTTGAGGAGGAAGGGGAATACCCGCTACCAGTTAGCAAGCAAGTCGTCATACGCGACTAATTCTGTATGTTTCTTTCCATGTCGAAGTGCATCTGCCTGGTAAGCGAGGAACCAACTGTGTTCATACAAATAAGCCAGAACTGTAAAATTGATATGCATACAAACTCAAGTTCTGGAGCAAACACATTTACAGGAGTGAACGAACAACCAGAGCTTTCCGTCTCATTTTACGACCCGTTAACGCTATGAAAATAAAGTCACAGAAATGAAATATCAGTGCAATGCACACTGATCTTAGCACGTCCCTACTTCTAGTTTTACCACTTCGGGTATTAAGGAATGTACTTGGTTTCAGATTTCACACTTTTCGATGCAATGAACCCTGACTCTACAACTATCACTGTAGAATTTCTGTAATGTCATTTGTTCACCTGTTCTTAGTCTACCAGGGGATCAATGCCCTTGTCCTGCTTGTGTCATTATTGCTATCATTTATGATGCTTTTCTTCTAGAGAAAGGGTTACTAAAAATGTCATGGCAAACGGGAAAGCTGGAGGAGAAGATCTTTGGGCGTCCTCGTTTCTCATTTTAGTTGTTTCCTATTTCTGTGCTTTTTGTGGGTATCCTGAATGTTTTCTTGTTGTCCTTCTATCTTTCTACTTCTTTGAATGAGTGCATATCGTCTTCTCCTCCTCGTCGATCTCTGGTTTAATCAACTGGGAGCCATACACTGGGATGTCATCACAAGGTCTCTTCCATTGTCTTTGTTGCCGAGTGTGCATATTGTTTAAGTACTTTGCTGCCATTAGTAGGGCTGAGTTATGTCTTGTTGTAAGTGTACATCAATAATGTCTTTTTGTTTATTATATACAATGTCTCTACGGCATCAACGATTCCTTATCTGTTAACTTCAAAGAGTTTGGCTTCATAACATGAAAAAAAACATATAAATAAATGATTGGCAATATACATGACAGAGGGTTTCTTCTCCATCTATTTTCGCCCGTTGAAAGGTCGGTTGGGCGGAAGGCTGCGGACAGACTTGATGTCTCACAGCATATATTTTATAAAGAAAAATACCGCATAAGTGAGATTCAACTCTGGCAGCTTAAAATATATCCACTTTCAAAGAAGGTAATTTATGATACAAGACTGACAAGAGAATATGTGTTTCCTGTAAGAGAATTTTATCTAGGATATTCCATTGATAAGATAATGCACACAGAGAAAAGTAACTGACAAGGGGATGTTACAATAGAAGCTTGTTACATGACTACAGATATTTAAATTGACATTGAAAGGGGAATCAATCAAGGAAATAAAATGCACGCTTTTTCATTTACAGAGTGCTTGCCCCTGTCGATTTTCGACATATGAAGAGCGCTCTTGAAGAGCGTTTTATTCAATCACTAAACCAAGAGCCGTCTCCATAGTGAAGGTAGATGTACTATCTCTGATTGGCTAGTCTGTTCCCTCTAAGTGTATAGGTAATTACTAGTATCCCAATGGTATCATCATTTTATTTTTAATCAGTATTTAAGGTCAATGGTTAAGCCAGTGCTGCATTCAGACTCCGTGATGCACTAATCCCACCCACACCCCCCCTTTACCCCACCATCCATAACTTTTCAATCAATCCTCATCGCCCTAAGAGACGCATAAGGCAGAGACAAACTGTCGCCACTCAGTTCGATCCTGAGCCATCCTCTCAATCTGTAGTTGTGTCCTTCGCGTAGCCTTGAGATCAACCTTAAAAGTTCACCTCCTTATGCCTGTGGGCCTGCCTCTTCCTCGCTGTCCTTGTGGTGTCCATTGCATTGCCTGTCTCTGTCGCCTTTCTTTCTTCGTTCTGAGAATGTGTTCTATCCACATCCATCTTCGTTTTTGGATTTCTACATTTACATCTTCTAAGTCTGTCATTTGTTGTAATCTAAAATTGCTGATTTTATCTTTTCATGTGAAACCCAACAATCTTTTGAGAAGTCTTCCCTCAAAACCTCTGAGCATCCTCTCTATCTTTCTGTCTGTTTTCCAAGTTTCTGCTCCATAGAGGAGAGCTGTGCTAACGCATGTTTTGTATATCTTGAGTCTAGTGTTAGTGCTGTAGATGTTTTATCTCCAGACACTCTCAATTCTGACGTAAGCAGCATTTGAATTTGGATTTATCTGCTTGATTTCAATCCTTCTCCCCTTACGAAGACGAACATGTCGTGTTTCATGAAAAGAAACAAAAATAATCATATACACAGGTTTTGAGCAGACTAGGAATGAATGATAGTCAGAGACAAGTGAAATCACAGGTATTGAAGTGTTGAAAGCTTTTGAGCAAGAAGTCGAAGGCAGTCGAGTGTGTTATGGAAAGTTTTAAACCGAACGAAAAGTATTTCAGTCGACTCTTACGAAATGCTAGTTTGGAAGGCAACGGGTCTATTCTTGTTTTTCCCTATACTGGGGCCCAGGAACCCACACGGGCTCAGATGATAGTGTTCTACTGTGTTATCGGGAGGCGTACCAAGAAGGAGGCGGGGGAGAAAGGCATTTACGAGTTGCACTCTAACTGATCACTCTAGCCAAAGAGATGACGCTCATCGACCCCCCCCCCCCCACCTTTTTTTTCGTCGTTTTTCTTGACCCCCGAAATCACATACCTGTCGTGCTATAGGAGCTACTGCATAATCGCAGACTGGTCCCAGAAACACAGTAACTGTTCTCTTGTCATAGAACTCGATGGCGGCGTTCATAGCATCGCTGATAGAGCAGTGGGAGTCCGCGTATCGAGCCACCAGCTGGACAGAGGGCAGTAGGGCCTGCTCTTCAATCTGAAAAACCAAATACAGGTTAATTTCATTGAAATATTGGACTGAATAAATGTGGATTATATTCACACAAACATTGGACTGGACAAATGTCGATTATATTCACACAAACATTGGACTGGACAAATGTCGATTATATTCACACAAACATTGGACTAGACAAATGTCGATTATATTCACACAAAAATTGGACTGGACAAATGTCGATTATATTCACACAAACATTGGACTGGACAAATGTCGATTATATTCACACAAACATTGGATTGGACAAATGTCGATTATATTCACACAAACATTGGATTGGACAAATGTCGATTATATTAATACAAATACTATACCAAACTCAGAATATCTTGGACAAACAGAGGAAAAATACTGAGATCTTAAAAGATCTGAACATCAAGGAAGATTGGCTAATAAACAGCATCCTGTCTCTGAAGCTGAAATATTTTGTTCAAATCAAGCGCCATCGGATTGGGAAAAAATAATAGTAGAAGGCGTGGTGCCAGGAAGGAGGGGCAGGAGCCGACCAACACGAAGATGGGCATAGGATATAAGTGACTCCTTCTGGCAAGAGACCGAGTTTCTTTCAGACAGACCGTGATGAGAGCGACGTTCTGCAAAGGATTTGCTACATGATGATGATACCGAACAAATATAGACTGTATAGCAACAGATAGTGAACTGGACAAATGTAGCTTATATTCACACTGTTATTAGACTAAAATAAGTACAATGTAACTCCAATATTCGTTATTAATCCGTTCCTGGTGGAAGAAAACACAAAAAGGACAAAGATCAAAGAGGTTCTCCAACAGAAATAATTGAAGAAGTAGGTCAGTTCACAACCTCGAATTGTGCCTATCTATTTGTTAACAAGAAACATTTTAATTACAAATTACCCACTGCATTTATTACTGCCTTATCAGCTGACAGATATTTACTCCTCTGGGTAAGGTAAATATACTGTATATCTACATAAATACGTATATAAAATTATAAAAAGAAATTAACCTTTTAGATGAAAAAGAAACAAAAACTATTGTTTGGAAGGAAAATCACCTTCCCTGATGACATCAGGTAATTTCACATCGGGTGACTGGCATCTGGATGGTTTTTTGTTTTATTTCCGGGTCGGTCTCCCAAATGCCCAGCACAGTTCGACATTTCTTAAATGTTGTTTTACAGAATAATGTTTACAGTTCGTTTCCCACCCAAAGTGAGTAAATATACTTGGTTCTGACGCGTCTCAAAAGAGGCTCATCTTGGATGGCCGAGGCAGAAAATAATATCCAGCAAGTATGTGCCCTTGACGAGATCAGTCACGAACGAACGAACGAACGAACGAACGAACTTTATTTTCAAAGGGTTACAAATTAGGCACGCAGGCCTGTCTTACATTCGGCCCTTCCAAACTTCCATCTTTCGAACAGCAGTTGTATTTCATCAATGAAGCATGTTATATTTATGTAATAATATGCATATTATATATATATATATAAAGTCAAAAACAAAAGCATAGGTGGTAAAATGTGTGCGTACGCTCACGCGCGAACACGCACGCACGCACGCACGCACCCACTGACCCACCCACCCACACACACACACACACACACGCACACACACACACACACACACACGGAAAAGATTTGACGGATACACCAGTAGACCTGCGTGACTTGTCTAAGGTTGTTATAACACTGGGGAGGTACTGCAGGAATCAGATACCTGCCACCATAGACGCCGAGATTAGAGCACTGATTGGTCAGCCCTCACGCCTAGAGGACGTCTTTATTTACACAGATGGTTCAGTGAAGCGCGGGACAAGATCAGCATGGGCATACACAGCACAAAGGATGAGAAAAACAATAAAAGAGGACAGAGGCGCTCACCAGACAACTACGTCAAGCATGACCATGGAGATAACTGCTGCTACCAGAGCGATCGCGTGGGTAGCAGAACAAGCGGCCACACATACGGTAATTATTTCAGACTATGAACATGCTTCAGAAAATCGCTACAGGTAGTCTCCGCTCCTAATGGTTAGAAAGCATTTGGAAGTCGCAGTTAACCTCCGTCATCTGGATCTACACACCTGGGCACGCAGGAGTAAATGGCAATGAAAGAGCTGACCAGCTGGCAAGTAATGCACCAATGCATGACATTCTTATAACAAAACAAAATGTGGAATAGGTTGCGACAAGTGGAAATATTACATAGTGACTCAAAGATCTACTTTTCATATGCAACTTCCACAGTACCATAACGCAGATACTGCCGGGTGCGGATCTTCACTTGAAGACAATATGTTGATTGAGCAAACAAGGCGTCATAATCATTTCGTAGGGTTGTTAAGGATTTGAATCTAAGGAGATTCGGAGTCGAAAAGTTCAAGAAGGCGGACGTGTTGTAAGTGCTGTGGCGTTACTGCTCTTTCTGCCGGAAGCAGGATTATTTTAAACTATTGGATCACTCAGTGAAACTGCTTTCAAAATCACGAAGGAGGGATATAGTCTTTTTCTAGAGTACTGGACTGCTTATGAATCTTTTGAAGTAACCGTTTAGGTTCTCAAGGTCGTAATGTTGACCTGTGGGGAGTTGATAAGGAATACGATATGAAATATGGATTCTAATGTTTCAAGACCAGCGTGAGTACGCTAGCCAGTGGTCGGAGTGTTTGAGTGAGTCTTGCCCACATATGACGTTATTACACATTTTATTCGCATCATAGTGTTTGTAATACACCAGTGTTACACTACGTACATGGCCTTTGTTACGGTTGTCGTGTTGCGTCAGGAGTTCCAGATAATGCCTGGTGGTCCTCGACCACCGTTTTCAGTGGAAATAATCTACGGCTATTTTTCCCAAACTTGACTTGTAGAATGTCCACGTTGACATGAACCTTCAAGTCCTGAGTTTGTACGCTTTTACTGATTCAACCATGCCATGATGTTAAACCACCCAGCATCTGCTCTCTCGGTCTCCCTCTGCCTCTCCTTACCTCCAACTTTCCTACTGATACTATGTACCCCAATTTTATCCTTCTCATTATATGACCAAAGAATGTAGATTTTCTCTTTCTGATGTGGGCAATCAGTTTTCTTCCGGAGTCAGTTTTTTTTTTTTTTTTTTTTAAGATGTCTTCATTACTCTTTTTATCTGTCCAGGGTTTTCTCATCATTCGTATATAAAACCACATCTCCGCAGCTTCAAAATAAGTTTTCACTAATTTACTAACTGTCCATGATTCACCTTTGAATATCAATATAAGATTTATATAGCTTTTAAGAATTCTCTTTCTCGTCCCAACTGACAAAGAAAAATTGTATAAAATATTCTTCATTTTGTAGAATGCTGCTTTTGCTCGAGTTATTCGATATTTAACTTCTTTAAACATTTTCCATCTGATGTTATCAGGGTACCCAAGTTTAAACATATGATCTTTCTTGAGGTTTGTCTCATTTACTTTATGTTGCATTTTAGTGGGTCAGTTTTCTTTGTAATTACTATTGCTTGGTTAGTGCCTTGTGGGAGAGCGTGTACAGTTCGGATCACCATAGTATGGGGAGATTGATGCAGCTGGGGGTGACGAAAGGTTCTGGCAGATGCTCGAGGCTCAGTGGAAAGGCAAGACGGACGTTTAATGAGAATGCTGCTGGCACCATTAGTATCAGAACTCTTTGCTGGCTGCTGAAGATGGGGACGGAGCGCTTATCGGAATGCCCCGAGTGCTGTGTTGTCGGTTCTTGAATCAAATCAAATCAAATCACTACCAAATAGTTTATTATTTTTGTTTTGGTGGTGGGGGGGCGGGGGGGGGGGGGGGGGGGGGGGTTATTGCTGGAAAACTAAAACTCTTGTTTTCACTTTTCGTCACTTTTCGTCACATTATTTTTGCAGTTGTGTTTCATTTTCAGCGATCAACAGTATATCGTCAGCATATCGCAGGTTGCTAACAATATGCCCACCAACTGCTATTCCTGACATGCCATGTATGGATCTAATTATTATTTCACCGTACAAATTGAATAACTGGGGTGATAGTACACATCCCTGTCTAACGCCTTGTTTAATGTTTTGAAAGTTCCAGCCAGGTTGTTAATCCTTATGGCTTTCTCAGATCTTTACCATCAATTTAAAAGGTTTCGAAAAATTCCAATAATTTCATGTTTTACTTCATCAAATGTTTTTTTTTTTACTCATAAATGCGTGTGTATTTTATTTGCCCTGCTAAGACTGCAGTCGGTGTTAATTTTTTTTTTTTTTTTTTTTTAATGTTTCCACAAGAGACAATAATGCACTTTCTTTGTGGTTTTCATTAGAACAGGAGCTGAGGAACTATGGGGTGATCATCTTCATCTGAAATGAAAACTGATTACTTGACTTAGATGTAACAGTCTTCTTTCCTTGCTTCTCTCTGGACTGCAACATATAGGTTTAGCTCAGATATGAAGAGACAATCCTAATCTTAATGGCAATACAACAGGACAGATCTCAAATGCCCCGTTCAGTCTCCAATAATTGGGGCATCTGTACTATTTTGTCTGATAGACCAGTTCGACTCCCATAACGCCAGCCAAGAATCCTGATTACCCAAAGGTTTGAGTCAGGTCTTGGGGCACCCATATAGACAATACCAACCTGCAGTTGCAGTGTGTTCCCTCCATGATTGCAGTTCTCATGATTAACTCCAAGGATTAGAATCCGAAGTGTCAAAAATACACGCAACCCCGTTCAAATGTTAAGTTGTATTAGGGCGCCAGGTGAATACAAAATACCATAAATCTGAACCAGACAGTAAAGATGTCGAGCACCAGCCTGGTCTACCCTGTATGTCCTCTGCGAGTGAGAATATAAGGTCTATTTCAACATCCTTTTGTCATGGCTTAGGGGAATCCGTGGTAAAAAGGTCAAGCCGTTTG